GACTTTAATACCCCACTTACATGAATGGATTTATCATCCAGACAGAAAATCAATAAAGAAACATCAGCCTTCAAATCCCATATGATCTCACTTATAAGAGGAATCTAATGAACAAAATAAACCAAAGAGCAAAACGGAAGCAGAGGCACAGAAACAAGGAACAGACTGACAGCTGTGAGAGGGGAGGGAGGAGGAGGAGACTGGTCGAAAGAAGGAGAAGGGACTAGTCAAGGAACGTGTGAAGAACCATGCACACGGACAGCAGTGTGGGGACTGATGCAGGGCAGGCTGGGTGGACGGGGGCAAGGGGCAAAAATCGGGACAACTTTAAGCATAAATAACAAAATATTTAAATAAAAAAAGGATACAAGTGACACTCCTCAGGGTGCAAAGCAGAATGTTCACTCTGCTGCTTACTGATTAGAGTGACTAAATCACATAGCCACATAACAACAAACATACAAGTGAGAATTTGAGCAACTTGTCAGAAAATATGGTCTTGGTTTACACAGCTGGCACTTGGCAAAGCTTGTGAAACCTCTAACATTTGTGAGAAAGTATGCAGGGAATAGGTTAACTCCACCTTCTCAGTTTGCCAAAGTTTACCTGTGAACTAGGCTAAATCATCAGACAGGAAAACAGCCTGGCCTTGCCTTTACCTGCCTCTTAATTTATCTAATATCATGGCCTTGGCTTTCACCAATGACTGCTGTATGTTGTACCCATTTGAAGAAAATGCACAGTATTTTTTGCAGAAGAAGGAAGGAAGGAAGGAAAGAAGGGAGGGAAAAAGGAAGAAAGGAAGGAAGGAAGGAGACACACACACACACACAACAACTTTAAACAACACATTAGACACACGGATTTAATAACTGTGTACAGAACAGGCCATTTAAAAGCAGCAGAATGTATCTTCTTCTTAAGTGCACACATACCATTCTCCAGATAGATCATATGTTAAGCCATAAAATGAGTCTCAGTAAATTCAAGAAGACTGAAATCATTATCAAGAATCTTTTCCAACTACAATAGTACAAAACTAGAAATAAATTACAAGAAGAAAACTGAACAAATAAAAAATACGGTATGTGGAAACTAAATAACATACTACTGAAAACCAATGGGTCAATGAATAAATCAAGGGAAAAAAATACCTTAAGACAAATGGAAATGGATGTGAAACATGCCAAAATCTATGAGATGCAGCAAAAGCAGCTGTAAGACAGAAATTTATAGTGACACAGAACAAGAAAAATCTCAGATAAGCAATTTAACTTTATACCTAAAGGAACATGAAAAAGGACAAACAAAGCCTAAAGTTAGTAGCAAAAAGAAATAAAGATCAGAGCAGAAATAAATGAAATAGAGTCTAAAAAGACAATAAAAAAGATCAATGATACTAAGAGCTGGTTCTTTGAAAAGATAAACAAAATTAACAAACCTTTAATTAGTCTCACTAAAACAGAGAAAGAAGTCTCAAATGAATACAATCAGAAATAAAATAGGGTTACAAGTGATCCCAAAGAATACTATGAACCACTATACACCAACAAATAGGACAAACTAGAAGAAACGGATACATTCCTAGAAACATACAATTTTCTAAGATCAAATCATGAAGAAACAGAAAATCTGAATAGCCCAATTACTAGTAGATTGAATTAGTAATCAAAAAAACAAACTCCCAACAACAAAAGTCCAGGACCAGACTGTCTCACTGGTGAATTTTACCAAACATTCAAAAAAGATTTAATACCTAACCTTCTCAAACTCTGCCAAAAAACTGAAGAGGAGGGAATGCTTCCAAACTCATTTTATGAGGGCAGCATTACCCTAGTACCAAAACCAGACAAGCAAATCACAAAGAAAGACCGTTACAGGCCAACATCCCTGATGAACGCATATGCAAAAATCTTCAACAAAATATTAGCAACCAAATTCAACAATACATTAAAAGGATCATACACTATGGCCACGTGGGATTTATTCCAAGGATAAGAGGATGGTTCAAAATCTATAAACCAATCAATATGACATACCATGTTAACAAAACGAAGGACTAAAATCATACTATTATTTCAATAGATGCAGAATAAGTATTTGACAAAATTCAACATTCATTTATGATTAAAACTCACAACGAAGTAGGTACAGAAGGAACATATCTCAGTATAACACAGCTTAAATATGAGAAGTCCCCAGCTAACATCACACTCAGTAGTGAAAAACTGAAAGCTTTTCCTCTAATGTCAGGAACAAGACAAGGATGCCTACTCTGGAGACTTTCATTCAACATAGTATTGAGAATCCTAGCCAGAACAATTTGACAAAAAAAGAAATAATAGTCATCCAAATTGGAAAGGAAGAAGTAAAACTTATTTGTGAACAACATGATTTTATTAATAGAAAACGCTAAAGACTCCACCAAAAAAATTATTAGAACCAAAAAATGAATACAGTTACAGGGTACAAAATTAATATTTCAAATCTGTTGTATTTTTATATGCTAGCAATGAATTAGCAGAAAGAGAAATTAAGAAAACAATCCATTTACAATTGGATCAAAAAGAATAAAGTACCTATAGGTAAATTTTTAACCGAGGAGAGGAAAGACCTGTACACGGAAAATTGTAAGACATTGAAGAAAGAAATTAAAGAAGACACAAATAAATGGAAAGATATTCCATGCTCATGGACTGAAAGAATTAATATTGTTTAAATGTCCATATTACCCAAAGCAAGCTACAGATTCAATGCAATACCTATCAAAATCACAATGGTATTTTCTACAGAAATAGAACAATCCTAAAATATGTATGGAACCACAAAAGATCCCAAATAGCCAAAGGAATCTTGAGAAAAAAGAACAAAGCTTGAGGTATCATGTGGCCTGATTTCAAACTACATTACAAAGCTATAGTAATCAAAACAGTATGGTATTGGCATAAAAATACACATATTTGTAGATCAATGGAAATGAATGGAGGGACTAGAATATACACTGGGGAAAAGATAGTTTTTTCAATCAATGATATTGAGAAAATTGCAGTCACATGGGAAAGAATGAAACTGGATCACTGTCTTATGCCATACACAAAAATTAACTCAGAATGGATTAAAGACTTGTATGTAAGACCAGAAACAAAACTCCTAGAAAGAAAAACACAAGGTAAACTCCTTGACATCAATCAATCTTGGTGATAGTTTTGTGGGGGTCTGACACTAAAGGCACGGGAAACAAAAGCAAAAGTAAACAAGCGGGACCACATCAAACTAAAACACTTAGCACAACAAAGGAAACAACTAACAAAGTGAAAAGGCAACCTAAATGGTAGGAAATATTTGCAAATCAAATATTCGGTAAAGGATTAATATCCAAAATATATAAAGAACTCATACAACTCAATAACAAAAGAAAAACAAAAAAGAAATATAATAAAAAATGGGCAGATGATCTGAATAGACAATTTTCCAAAGAGGACATACAAATGACCACCTGGCACATGAAAAGATGTTCAACATCACTAAACATCATAGAAATGCAAACCCGAACCACAATGAGATATCACCTCATATTTGTTATTATCAAAAAGACAAGAAAAAACAAGTGTTGGTGAGGATGTGGAGAACATGGAATCCTTGTGTATGCTTAGTGGGAATGTACATTGGTGCAGACACTATGGAAAACAGTACAAAAGTTCTTCAAAAAATTAAAAACAGAGATATCATACGATCTAGTAATTCCAAATCGAAGTATTTATTTGAAGAAAGCAAAACACTAATTAGAAAAGATTCATGTGCCCCTATGTACATAGCAGAATTATTTACAATAGCCAAGATAGGTAAAAAACCTAAGTGTCCATCAATGAATGAATGGATAAAGATGCAGGGTGTGTGTGTGTCTGGTAACAAAGAATGAAATCTTGCCATTTGTGACAACATGGATGGAAGTTTGAAGGTATTATGCTAGTGAAAGACAGATATCGTGTGCTTTCACTTGTGTGTGGAATTTTAAAAAAGCAAAACAAAAAACAAACAAAACAAAACCAGACTCATAGAGAAAACAGATTGGTGCTTGCCAAAGGAAGGATTGGTGAAATGGATGAGTAGGATGGAGGTACAAACTTCTAGTTACAAAATAAGTCATGGGGATGTAATGTCCAGTATGGGGACTATAATCAATTACATTGTATGAACTCTGGATGGTAATAGATGGTGACAGATAGACTTATGGTGGAGATCATTTCTCAATGTATACAGATGTGGAATCATCATGTTGTACACTCACAGAATATTCTATGTCAATAAAAAGGGTACGTTCCAAGAAAAACAAAACAAAACTTTTTCTCTATACCAGAAATGCAAAAGAAAAAAATAAATCAGGTGAATGAAACATTCTGGTTCACTGGATTCCAACTGGTAGAGTTTAAACTTAACAGCAAAATCAAAAACAGTGCCGTTACCTTATGTCACGGATCAGTCACAAGTTTTATTTTCAAGAGAAATCAAAGGACACATATCTGTACACGGTCGTACGTGAAAGGGGAAAAACGACGTGCCCAGAAGAGGGGACCTTTCTTTAAAAACGCCGCTTCTTTCTAGACCCGGTTCCTTCGGATCAGAACCTTTCTTTCAGGGATTTTGGTTTTGTGAAGCGCAGACACCACCTCCAGCTCCGGGGAGTCCCCTGCTTAAGTGCAACAGGTCTAGGTGTCCGAAGCGGGGTGGCAAGAGGCGGCGACGCGCGGACCCAAGCCTTGCGCGGGGTTATTACGAGCCTCGGCGACCGCCGTCAAACTTCCTCCTCACCGACTGCAACCCGCAAGGGAAAGTGTGAAACCGGCGCGGTGCAAACTTGACTCAAAACCAAGCGCTCGAGTGGCCGCAGTGAGTTTCCGCCCGCGGCTCTCGGCGCAGCAAGCGCCGCGCGGGCGGGACGGAGTCTGCTCGGCTACCTCCCTGTCCTGCAGCTGGCGGCGCCCCCGGGACGGCCCACTTACCTGCGCGCCCCGACGGCGCGGCCGCCGCCAGGAGCAGCAGTGGCGGCAGCAGCAGTGGGAGGGCCGGACGGCCGGGCGCTGGGGCCCTTCCGGCCGCCGCCCTCGCAGCCCTCGCTGGGGGTCGGGAGCCCCACATGGGCGGCGGAGCCGGGTCACATCTCCACGGAAGGCCAGCAGCGTCCGACGCCCCGAAGGCCCCGGGCGCCGGCGGCTCCCCTCTGCGCCTAGGTCCCGCAGCTCCGGCTGCGCGAGGCGCTCCTACACGCCCGGCGCCCGGGGAGGCGGTGCCAGGTCCGCGCCCCACCCTCGTCCCTTTGGAGTCCCGAGCTGGACGCCAGGGAGAGGGGAGGGTCCCGGCGATAACTAGTCCCTAGCCACTCCTTGTTTCAGTTCTGACCGTGTGAGTTTCAACCAATGAGGCCACTACCAGGGGCAAAACCTCACTGCAGTAAAGAGAGAGGAGAAACACCGCAAATCACTAAAAACTGACTCTGGTAACCAGGCCTCATGGCCACCTCCCGAAAATTTTTGAAATGTCAGAGTTCGGTGCTGGAAGAAGAATGAAATGGGCTATTTATTTCTCAACACACTGCCAGGCACTCTGCCATACATTGATTGTATTTGATTACATTTAATCCTCGCCACCTGCAATTAGGTATTGTCCTATTTTACAGATGAGAAAAGGGAGACTCAGAAAGTGAGGTGTCACCCTGAATGCAGTCTCCCAAGCCTGGAGCAGCGGCGTAGAGACTTCCAAACAGGCTTGATTATCGGTCTCATGCTCTTCATAATGGGAGGGCGGGGGTTGCAATTAAGAAACATGTGGAAATGGTATAAGGAAAATCTGAGAGGCAGTCTTGGCTCTAGGCCTTGAAAGGAGTTATAAAAGTTGGGCGCAGCCCTAAAATAGAATAAACGATTTACTTCAGATGTGTTACGTCTCTTTCCCTCATGAATACCTGTTCACAAATGTACAGATAATGCGAAACGACCCTAAAATTCGCTCATCTACCTTTATCTTAGAAAAAAGAATCTTCAATAGCTGAAAAAAATTATTTTATTTTTTTGATGGGAGGGAGTGAGAGGATGGTCAGGATTTTCAGAGTCCTCTAAAAGGCTTGGAAACAGAGGACGAATCCAGGCTAAGACTGTCTCTTTGACTGGACTTGGCTTTGTGATGCAGAACCTAGGACTCCGCAAACTCCATTTCTTGTGGCCAGGTCCTTTAGGTTCCACCAGTAGTAGGCGCTAGAGGAACACTCAAAGCTGGAGGAGGAGCTCAGGGTCTTTCAGTTTCCTATTTCTGTTGTCAGCGTAGCGCCCCAGGGTCGATGCTGTGGCGGGAGCTGCTGCTGGTTTCCTGCTTCTTCCTCAACGCCCAGCAATTGCCTTGTTGCTCAGCATTAGCCTTGTTCCTCAAGGACACCAGCAGCGAGCTGGCCATTCCCCATCCCAGAGGTCTGAGTTGCAGTGTCCTGGCTTCTTCTTCCGAGATGTAACCCCCACGTCTTCCCCTTGTTTCTTCAGCCCTAGGACTGCTTCCTGTAGTTTGCCTCAGTCTCAGAATCCCCTTTTCATTGTGCTTTTTAAACTCTCCAACATCGGTTTACCCTATTCCTCATAGCAGATTCTTTCTGTCAAAATAACTGGTATGGTTTCTGTTTTCCTGGCTGGATTCTTACTGATTTAGTAAACGTTTAGGAAGGATCGAACATTTTAGCAAAGATTCTAGGTTGTTAGTAGATCATGGGTGTTATCTTGAGCTGCCGTTCTTACTAACTGAAAATTACATTAGTTTAGCTCCATTATCATTTTAAGTCTAGTGGATTAGTTAAGTATGATGCATATTTGCCATAAAGATATCTTGCACCAGTTATTTTTTGGTATCTGAGCTTTAGGACTTGTATGCATTTCTGTTCAAATGCGAATGGTTCCTGGTGCTAAAGGGGCTAAAGCAGAGGAATCCATGGCCCTCCATCCAGTCTCCCCTGATTGTTCTTAACTTGAGCAGTAACAGTTCATTGTCTCCTCCTACCAGGAAGTGGAAAAGGGTAGGGTACCTGGGACTTGGGGTCCTTCCCCATAAGTGGCCCACCCCTTGTCTGTGAGCCAGTAATCTGTAACCTCCCCCCTTCCTCCTCAGCTTCCCCTTTCCACTAGTCAGGCAGCAAGTCGGAATTTCTCAGGTCTCATACCTGTTAACCAACCTATCGCTCCGCCCTCAGCACACCTGTGGGTATTGTAGGCTGAGTGCACTCTGAGCTACTGCTAGGTGTGCAGTTGATGTTTCCCATGGATTAAATTAGAGTGGAGCAAGGACTTCTCTATTGTTTTTTACCTATGACCCAGACCTTACCTTAGGGAGTTTCTTCTGTGCCTTTAAATTCTTACTCACCCCTGTCCCAGTTCCTCCCAGTCTAAGCCTTCCCAGTCAAAAACAGACAGTATATTCTTCAGGAGATTTTGGAAATGAGTCAACACACTTACATGGGTATTTTGTTCTGCTGTAAAGATTATTCTTCTTGCCATGATTTATCTTGCTGAGATCTTAATTTCTGGAGCCCATTGCATGGATTTTGGGGCTTTCTAGTCAGAAAGGCCATACACCAACACCTCCCACTCTCAACCCCAGCAGCAGTAAATACTACAAACAAAAAATACAAACTTTTCCTATTGCAGTTTAAATAGTTTCCAGGAATGATAATAATAATGTCTTCTTCTCTTCTCCCTCCTCTTCCATCATCATCATCATCACCTGAAGTTACTGATTTCTTACTCTGAGCCAGTTGTTATGCTAAGAATTTTACATTTACTGCCTTCTTAGATCCTTGCAGCAGCTCTGTGAGTAAGTCATGGTACCCTGAGTTAAAAAATGTCGTTAATAAACAACAGAACTGGAATCTGAATCTTGGTTAAACTAATGCCAAAGTCGATGCTTTTAATGACTTCCCTATATGCCCCCGGCACTTAAGAAAATCAAGCAAATACTTTTGAGGGGTAAACTGTAAAATAACACACATATTGAGATGGATATTTATTAATTTAAGAAAATGCAGCATTAGTGCAATTTCCATATTGTAAACTCCGTTGTGAGTGGCAATAGATACCCATTCTTGGACACTCTGGTGTTGCAAGGCAGGTTCAGAATGTACTAAGGTGACTGCTGCAAAAGTAAACCAGAAAATTAGGGGACAGGTGGTGGTGGGAAAGGATTGGGAAGATAAAGTTTGGTGGAAAGGGTTGGGGGGCAAATTTGAGGAAAGGAGAGAGTATTGGGAGAGGATAAGCATGCGGTACTGAAATTTCTAAAATCCTTGTGGTGTACTCTGCCATTCTTTGTGGGTATTTGAGGCCACTAGCAATTTTTATATTATGCCCTCTGCTTAAATCCAAATAATACCTACTATTTAAATCCTATGGAATGCTATCTCATCATGCTTCTTGACCTTTTTTCCAATTTTTTTGAGAAGTGGTTTGTGCATTTTACAAGATTTTGTAATTGTAAGTATAATTCACATACAGAAAAATGCACAGACAGATGCTACAGCTCAACGAGCTACCACAAAATGCAAATGTTGATATACATCACACAAGAAATAGAACCCTGCCAACCCCACAGAGGCCTCTCTCTCACCCCTCACTTCTTCCCCATATCAGTGTGTATTCCATTGTGTCTGGCTTCTCTCACTCAACATTATACTATGAGTCGTCCATGTTGTTGCTTATAGTTGTGTAATGCTGTGAAGTCTGACTATGCCACAATGTGTTTATTCATTCTATTTTTGATGAACTTTGTTTCTGGTTTGGAGCTATTGACAATAGTGTTGTTTGAACATGCTCATTGTGTCTCTTGCTTAGGTGTACATTTTTCTGCCAGATATGTACCCAGAAGTCTAACTGCTAGATCACAGGACAGACATGATTTCACCTTAAGTAAATAATGCCAAACCTGTTTGCCAAAGTAGTAACGATGTACATGCCTGTTAGCTCTAAATGAGAGTTTGTCTTCCACATTCTCGCCAACACTTGGTGTTTTCAAGTTTCATAATTTTAGCCATTTTAGAGTGTGTGTAGTAGTATCTCTTTGTGGTTTTCATTTTCATTTTTCTGACGATTAATGACATTTAGAACTTTTTCTTAAGTTTAGTAGTTATTCGTGTCATGATCTGATCAAGTTTCTTGCCTGTTTTTTCTTAGATTGTATTTTTATTTTGTTTTTAATTTGTTTGAAGCAATTTGTTACACGTGCCAAATATAAGCCCTTTAGCAGTTGTACATGTTGCAAATACTTTTCCTTTTGCTGTGGCTCTCCCTTCTACTCTCTCACTAGAGTAATAAAAGAAGTTCTTAAATGTAATATAGTCTACTTACCAATTATTTCTCTTATGGTCGTTATATTTTGTGTCCTGTTTAAAAAATGTTATCTCACCCTCAGGTCATGAAGATATTCTTCTAAGCTATCTTCTGAAAGCTTTACTGTTTCATTTTTTCACCTTTCAAATTATGACATGCCTGGAATTGATTTTTATATGTGATGTGAGGTAGGGGTTCAAGTTTTATTTTAATGTGAGTCCAGTTGACCCAACAGTATTTACTCCACCCTTTCCTTTCAGCTTTTCAGTCCCATCTTCTCCATAAACTGCATGTCACACATGAATATGGACTCTACTCTGTCTCACTGGCCTGTCTGTTACTCTACTAACACCACACTATTTTAATTACTTTATCTTTGCCCACGTAGAGCAAGTCCCTTTATTTTGGTCTTATGCGAGTGTCTTGGATAGTTTTTGGCCTTTGCAGTTTCATATACACTTTAGAATCACTTGCCAATTCCCACAAAACAACTGGCTGACATTTTTTTTAAAGTTTTTATGAAGGCGTGGCTTACATAAAATGCATAAAGCACACCAGTCTTAAGGTGTTCATGTATACACAACCATGTTATCAACTTCAGATCAAAACGTAGAATATTTCCAGCATGCCAGAAGCTTCCCCCAGGCTTGTTCCCAGACCCCTGTAACATGGGAGGTCACTGTTTCGACTTCCGTTGCCACTTGACTCCTGTTTGACTCTTCTTTGCCCTCCCAGTGAATGGAACCACATGGTCTGTATCCTTTTGAGTCTGGCTTCTTTTGCTCAACAGAATATCTTTGAAGTTCATTCATGTTGTTACATGTATCAGTAGTTTTTATCTTTTTTTTATTGCTGGAAGTGATCTATGATAAGTTTCTTAGTATCTGAGTTTGTTCATTTTTATGTCAAAAACAAACAAGGTTTCTAGAGCAGAGATCA